CACACACACACACACACACACACACACACCGCTTTTGGCACATACTGGAGCTGTTTTTCACCCTCCCCAGGCTCCAGAGGCTTTCTAGGAGCCTGGAGAGGGTGAATATAGCCCCCCTTCCCCGAGACCCTCTGGAGGCTTCCCTGAAGGCTCCAGAGGGCGAAAAACGGCCCTATGGCAGAACCAAAAGTCCATTCCTGAACTTCTGGTTTGGCTGTAGGACCAGTTTTTCGCCCTCTGGAGGCTTCAGGGAAGCCTCTGGAGGGTGAAAAACAGTCTGAAAAGAAGGCCAAAGTCAACTGGCCAGTATGCGCATGCGCGCTGGAGTTTACAGGGCAATGTCTTGCGTGTCCTAACAAATGTCTCCATGTGCCACCTGTGACACGCGTGGCATAGGTTCGCCATCATGGTTCTAGAGGCTAGTGGAAAGAAGGGCAGAATCTGGAGAGTGGCCCTGAAATTGAAAAATGCAGGACATTTAGGGATTATTTGCACTTACGATGTTGATGAAAAAGTAACCTTAGGACCAATCTTCACATTTACATCTTTGCAGGTCTATAAAGCAAAGTAAAGCTAAAATAACACTGTACGCACCGTTGTGATTTTGTATAATGTCTTATTTGTTTAACAACCAATTTTCCAATCCTTATTGGTCACTGAACAATTACTACCTGTACCCAGAATTTATGCAAGTCCGTAGTAAGTTATTTGTAGTGAGTGGCTCATACCATCTGCATATAGAGGTAGTCCTCAACTTATGACCACAATAGAGCCCAAAATTTCTGTTGTTAAAGTGAGACATTTGTCAAGTGAATTTTGCCCCATTTTACATCTTGCTTGCCTCAGTTGTTAAGTGAATCGCTGCAGTTGATAAGTTAGTAGCCTGGTTGTTACATGAATTTGGCTTCCCCATTGACTTTGCTTGTCAGAAAGTCACCAAAGGGGGCCACATGACCTTGGGACAGTGCAACCATTGTAAACATGAACCAGTTGCCAAACATCTGGATTTTGATCCCATGATGAAAAGTCATAACTGAAAACCAGCCATTCCTCGCTGTTTTCAGTGCACTTATCACTTTGAACAGTCACTAAACGAACTGGTGTAAGTCAAGGACTACATAGGTTGCAAAAAGAAAATCTATCCATAGCTGCTTGCTGAGTTCTTTTTAGTTTAGTGAGACCTGCTTAAAGGCACGTCAGTTTGGAACGTTGCTTTGGTTCCTGGGAGAAATTAGCCAGGAACATGCAATTATAGTATCGTCCTGCTTGTCTCCTCCGAGTTCAAGTAAGTGCACCTATGTCAGGCTCATGAGATGTGGTGGCTCAGTGGCTAAGACGCTGAGCTTGTCCATCAGAAAGCATTTAGTATGCCGGCCACATGATCATGGAGATGTCTTTGGGCAGTGTTGGCTCTTCGGCTTTGAAATGGAGATGAGCACCGCCCCCTAGAGTCGAGAACCACTAGCACATATGTGCGAGGGAAACCTTTACATTGATGTCAGGCTCNTTACCTAACTAAGTAACATCATCAGTGCTAAAAGGAAGCGCTCTCTGTTTATATAATAGTGGCTAGTCTTGTCATGCTGGTGTGAGGCTTGGTGATTCCTTGAATAGGTTGTTGTTTACTGTCAGCTTGTTTGTCTTGATAATTCCTTGATTGGGGTATATTTTCTCCAGTTGTTTTGGAAGGGAAATATGAGAAAACCCTTTTTGAAACTTGATACTGCCCCTGTGACACAGGTGCCATAGAAACCCTAGCACATGTTATTTTGTATTGTCAGTTCTACAGGGACATTCACCACCTGTTGATTACCCCTTTTTAAACTAAATTTCCTGGGCACGCCAATAATTTTTACTTGCATTATTTGTTAGATAACTAGGACAAATCTATTTCTCTAAAAATAGCAAAATTCTGCTACATTATGTCTAAGTTTTGCCCACAAATGGTTGCCAACAATCCTTAAAATTAGGGGTTAACTATGCTTTGTTTAACTGAACGTCTTTTAATTGGTCAATGATGGAAACAGTTTCTGTCTGTCTCCCTGGGCATTACATTAGAATTAATCCAGCAAACTTTTCCAATCTGTCATGCTCATGTTTGCAGAATCAATTACCTTCAGTGGTGAAATTTAAACAAATAATGCTTTAAATATTGATTATTTCATTGGGAATGCAAGAGAAAACAAAGACAGAGTACAGAAATACTGGATAGTGTAGGTGTGGATCAAATATGGAAGTTAGAGAGCCATACA